CTTGGATTAGACCATTTTGAAGTTCAGACACTTGCTGACGAAGAATTTCTTCGCCCCGACATCTACAGTCTTGCAATCCTTCTCTAAAGCAACCCAAAGCTCTTTCACATAATTGATCGAGCAATAGACATTGTACATCTTGCTATGTTAGTTCAGGACATTATTCTGGTGAAGGTAGTCACCTTGCCCGCAAGCATCGTACGTAGCGCGTGGTTCAATGTTGGTATCGTTTTTTTAAAAAAAAAATAGAGGGGGTCATCCTTCAGGTACTTCAACAAACCTAAGTTGGTTTGGTGAAAGTGCATTTTTTACTTCATCTCTTGAAATTTAATCCGTTAAATTTTTTGGACTTTTCAGCAGTTGGTACATGGACAACATGTACGCAATGAGGATGAAAAACAACGTTGTTGATCTATTTCAAAGGTTGTTGAGTTTGTTGAACATTCGATCCATCTCAAGTGCATGCCATCAATTCAGCAGGTACAAAATATTTGTCTTGCGATTGTTACAAACTGAGTGTCGATTATATGAGAATCCTACGAACTGAAGTGTCAGAAGAGCTAAAAATAGAAAAAAAAAAAATTACAACGTTAAGCGGAAATATTAAATACGAGGCGAGAAGAGGCTCTTTAGATAAATACGTCCTGTATAGTGCTAATGGGTCTATGGGGGTTGTTCACAAAGATACAACAACAATAGTCTCGAAGGATGTAGCACACCTAACTTACGAGCTCTGACAAACTAGAATAAAGCCGAGAATAGAGCACACTTGTCATATGATACATGAGACTTTTAGAGAGTAATATGTAAATGATGTAATGTTTTATTTTTGGCATCTCTACCCTGTCCTATTCATATGACTTTCAACTAGGTAGGGGATTACCTATAGTCATCACAAAGAAGGTAGGGTAACAATCGACTAACAATGGACAATGTCCAAATACATTGTATCTTAAGAGGTCTACATGAGCTGAGTCAAAACCCGAGTCTAAATCTAACTAAATCTTGATATTTTTTTTCGGCCGCAATTTTTTAAATAAATTTACAGCAAAAAGACTATAGGGGTAGAGCCTAAGACTCAAGCCCAACACCGGCCGAGACTGTCCAAAGCAACCCAAGGTCAACCCACAATCCAATTTCCAAGGACCAATGACCTAGATCTAAGGTCTGGTCCCTGACCCATGCATGTGCCTGTGCCTAAGGCGGACCGGCCAGCTAGTGGTTGCGCGCACGTTTGTGCTCGAAGTCAACTCCAACACTTGTTGTTGTATAGCTTTGTTGTTGTTGTTGTTGTTGTTGTTGTTATTGTTGTTGTTGTTGTTGTTGTTGTTGTCATCTCTTCAATTTTTTTTTACTATAATTAAGAGGTTATCCTCATTTAAGAGTCCAATGCGGGATAAGACACTTGACCATTCGAATCCACAATCAATGTCTTACGTATCCATTAATGGCGAACTTATGTTTCACTCACGAAATTTTTTGAGAAAATAAATACAACACAGTTTCTAATCGAAACATATAATTTTCTACAAAATAAATTCAGTCGAAATTAAATAATTAACTATAAAATAATCAGCAAAAATGGGTCAAACTCAGTTTTAATTAACTAATTTTCTAATATGCATCTGCCTTGACCACCTAGCCAAGTTAGCCGTGAGCAACTTCGCAAATGCCTGGCCTGAATAGATGTCGCATAATCCTCTGACTGCCTAGAATAATTCCTACAAAAATAGTGACGCTTAAATGTTGCATAGAGCCTTCACGGACACCATGTTCGATTTTTTTGACTGAGCTAGTCTCGCAACACAACAATCTGGATATCTCTGTTTTGTTTTTTAAATGTATAGCATTCTCTAAATTAGTGATGTTTTGCATGTGACTTACAATTCGGCTAACCAGAAATACAAATGAATTAAGTCGACTTGAATTACATGGTTAAAATTTACCCATATTTATTCAGCTTTAAACGTATGTTTAAAGTTGGCTATGATGATAAAAAGAATTAAACGATTAAATTTCAAATAATCATTTAAAGCATAATGAAAGTCCCATAAAAAAGTGGTGACCAGCTTAACCTCATTTCCTTTGCCAGATTTTTTTGGTTTGAACCAAACAAAAACAATTGATCTGTTGCATAAATTATGTGACGTTATCTAATTTTATGTACTGACACATATTTAATGTGCATCTATTATAGATACATGTCAATACAGCATTTATGAATAAATATAGATGACTCTATAAATCGAGACATTCGACGACTCCATAACAAAATCGTTGACGTGCTTAAAAGAATAAAGAAAACAAGTATAGAAAAAAGAAAAAAACGAAAAATTGCTCACCGTAGGTCGTTCTCATATGGTGATATGGGATATGATTTGGACACGTCACTCCGCCTACACCTCCGCCACTAAATTTCCCCGGGACCACCTCCTAATGTTATCCTGTGAAATTCCCAAAAACCCCCCGTCTTATTCAACTAAACATGATTAACCCGAGGATATAATTGTCCAAATAACGACCATCGTTTTCAAAAAAAGTATGCACTCTCATATCAGCGCCAGCTTGACAAAAATCGCCCGAGGCAAGATTTGTTTTTGTTAGTTTCCTCCAGGGGCATTATAGACAATATAAAATATTTATATTAAATAATGAATTAATGAGTTGCCCAAATCAAAGTCGTACACTTGTATTTTAACTCGTTTTTTTAACTCGTTTTAGGGCTATAAAGTTGGGGACTCTGGTTTTTCTCTCTCCTCTCTCCTTGTGTATCTGCTGCTGCACTCTCTCTCTCTCTCTCTCTCTCTCTCTCTCTCTCTCTCTCTCTGTCTTGTTACTCACTCTCTCTCTCACCCTCCATTGATGCTCGCTTTCTCTCTCTAGACGACTGCAGTGATGAAATTCGGGATGTTCTGCTGTGGATTCGGAAGCTTTTTCCAGCTCTGCGGAAGAAAGTTATGTTGCGAGGTAATCTGTATCCTTTCGCTTGCTTTGTTGCGATTTGTTTGTTTATTTTTCTTTCTATTTGAGTTTTATGAAGTGCAGTGCCCAGATGGATCTGGTAAGCTAATAGATTGAGTGGATTTGCTCGTAAGCATTCATGTTGTTCTAAATCTTATGTTTTGAATCGTGTTGTGAATTACGAAGGATGGTTTTGTTCTGTAATATGTAATTTGTTCATCTTTTGTTTCAATGAATATGGTTGAAGGAGTCTTACTAATTGATTGTTTGGGAATAAAAATATTGGTTATTTGAGTTCTTTATTATAGCTTCAAGTAATAAATTGATTAATTTATCAGCAAGTTTTTTCTATGGGTTGAATTTGTCATATTTTAGTCTGTAGTTGCTCCCATGTTCCCCTCTTCGTTATGCATATATACTTAACAGAAGAAGTTTGATGATTTGCTCATATATTTTAGATTGTTTTATAGAGTATAGATCTTGTATTTCATTGGTTTATTTCTAGGAAAACATGCTTGTGAATTTTTGCAAAAGTTGTGTTAGAGGTTGACCTTGGCATCTGGCGCCCCTAGGCGGAGATGTTTTCGTCTGAATTGGTGAGAAATTCTGCTACCATGCTGCCTGAATTCTGGCCTAGGCTCTATGAACCAGTTTTCTCTTTGTTTTTTTTTTCTTGACTGTCCTTTTTAGACGTTCTCATGTGATTTAATCCTTCTTTGCCACAAATAGCGAAAACGTATTGGAAATGTTAGAAGTTAAAAATTTGTATTATTAATGTGATAGTAGATTGAAAGCACTTATTTTGTGTTGATAGGAGTAGATTGAAAGTATTATTATAAGAAATAGCACTGTTTGTACTTGATGAGGTGCAGGGCGTAGTGATTTTCGGAACCCTGTTAGTAAAGGTTGAATCTGGAGCGGTGGACATTGAGTTAGGCGAAGGATGAACTTAATATTGGAAGTTTGCTTAATATAGAACAGAATCATCAAAACTAATTCTCAAATTGGAGATGGGTGAACTTTTGCGGAAAATCTTTAGAGTTATTCTGTTGCTTTTGGCAGATTGGAAATCAAAACTGAAAATCCGACTGGACAATTGAGCAAACATGGTAGTAGAAGCATGAGAAAGTGATAAGAGTCAAATGGTCTTACAACCTTGGTCAAGCAATTATAAACCATTTAGATGAAATGTAAACGATAACCAAGTTACAATCACGAGGGATTAGTCGCTGTTGTCGATTGTAAATATAAACGGAAGAACAATGTGTTTTTTTTAACCCTTCTAGCCCAACGGAAACCATGCTTTTGTCCCCTTCTATGATGTGGCTGCATTTCTCAACAAGTTTTAAGTTAAATGGTGACCATATATGTAGGGTAACGACATGGTCTATTGTGAATGGACTCTATTAATGTTATTCTGATACAACTAGTTACAACTAGTTTGCTAATTTTTGTACGTATCATGATTGCATCTTTGACATATTACAATTGGTTAAAATATGTACCCTGTTTTAGGGACGTGATATTCTTGCATGATTTATTTATTGTTTATCTCCTGATGTTGGCAAGCATATATCCTTAGTTACTCTCTACAGTTATCTTTGGTGGGTCGCCATTATGTCTACATTTCTTTGCGTGTGTGCGAAAATCTTTGTGATTCTCTTTTTAAACAAAAAATACTATTTCCCCAATGCTGTGAAATCAAGTTACTTCTTCTCATTTGTCAGGTACCTAGGTGCATGCTGGAATTCATGGATAGTTGTATATCACATTAAAGTTGCTGCAGTTACCTATCTAGTACTCAGTGTCAGATTTTCTTCATAAAAACATTGCTTCTGCTAGGAACCTTACAGAATGGATAGATTTGATACATCAGGTTTTGTGAGCGGCGGATGCAAATTGTTCGGATCTTGTTCTCTCGTTTTTTTCATCTTACTATATGGATTTTAGAATTTATTGAGTACATTTATTTTATCGCCCACCACCTCTATCCATAAAGAAATAGTAGAGAGATTTGATTGGTAACAGGCAATTCAAAAATGTATTCCTCTTTCTTCTGCGAGTTTTCCAAGAATGGAACCAACACTGGAGATACTACTTTACGCTTGGATGCCTTCGGATATGGGACAAGAGATAACCCCCCGTTCAGCAACAGCCAAAACAATAGTGGTCGGCAGGTTGATTTTCCAAATGGCCCAGATGACGGGTGCAAATTAGTGCTCGGATTGGGCCCCACCCCTACCTATACAGAGGAGCCGTCACCTAAACGCGACTCAATTTTGGAACTCGGCCCATCTGGTGGGTGCAATGCCGTTCCACACGTGATAGACTTCTCAGGTACCACTCATGGTTCCTCTGACCCTCCTAGAAATGAAAGTCCCATCGGTGATGAGGGTTCGACATCTGCAAAGAGATCAGGCGGATATATGACGGGACTTGTTCTGGCCCCGACGTCATCAAACAAGCTTCCGGAGTCTCAATGCTGCCCGATTTCACAACAGAGCTCCGACTACTCGATGAGCGCTATATCTGAGCCAGGAAGCGCTTGCACGTCCTCTGACCGTAAGAACACTCCTGCCAAGAAATGCAGGTATCCAGGTGGGTGCACGAAAGGCGCAAGGGGCGCGACAGGCCTGTGTATCGGGCATGGGGGTGGGCAGCGGTGCCAGAAGCCTGGGTGTGGGAAGGGCGCTGAGAGCCGGACGGCGTTCTGCAAGGCCCACGGCGGCGGGCGGCGGTGCCAGCACCTCGGCTGCACCAAGAGTGCCGAAGGCCGAACGGAGTACTGCATTGCCCATGGCGGGGGACGGCGATGCGGCCACCCAGGAGGGTGCGCTAAGGCTGCCCGCGGCCGATCGGGCCTCTGCATCCGGCACGGTGGCGGGAAGCGGTGCAAGGTCGAGGGGTGCGCCCGGAGCGCTGAGGGGCAGGTGGGTCTGTGCATCTCCCATGGCGGGGGACGGCGGTGCCAGTTCCCAGGCGGGTGCGGGAAGGGAGCCCAGGGGAGCACGGCGTTTTGCAAGGCACATGGTGGGGGGCGGCGGTGTGCGTTTGCGGGCTGCACCCGGGGAGCTGAGGGGAGCACCCCACTCTGCAAGGGGCACGGCGGGGGCCGGAGGTGCGCGTACGAGGGGGGCGGCATCTGCCCCAAGAGCGTGCACGGAGGCACCGACTACTGCGTGGCACACGGCGGAGGGAAGCGTTGCGTGGTCCCCGGCTGCACCAAGAGTGCGCGGGGCCGGACGGACTGCTGTGTCAGGCATGGTGGGGGGAAGCGGTGCGCTGCCGGGGGCTGTGGGAAGAGTGCCCAGGGGAGCACCGACTTTTGCAAGGCCCATGGAGGGGGGAAGAGGTGTGCGTGGGGGAAGGACGGGGGGACGTGCGACAAGTTTGCGAGGGGGAGGAGCGGGCTCTGTGCGGCTCATACCAGCCAGGTCCGGGCGAAGGAGAGTGGCGGTGGCATGATAGGGCCTGGCCTGTTCTGTGGTCTGGTGCGGGCTGACTCGACCAGAAGCGGTTTTGAGAACGTGTGCTCGTCGTCTGGGGTGAGTATGGTTTCGGATTCAACGGCTGGGCTGCATGAGAGGCCTGCCAAAAGGAAGCAGCTCATACCCCCGCAGGTGTTGGTGCCTCTGTCGATGAAGGTTTCGCCTTTTTGCGCGGAGGCCTCGGGTTGCGAGAAGCAGGTGGAGATGAGTAAGAGGTTGGATTTTGTGGTGCCGGAGGGGAGAGTCCATGGTGGTGGGCTGCTTTCTCTGCTGGGAGGTAGTCTGAATAATGCTATTGATGGGATATAAACTGGTGGCTTGCCGGAATATGTGTCCACTGGGGTTGTATATGTTTTTGTGATATTCTTGCTTGATATTGGGCTTGTGTAAATGCTACAAATAATAATTAATAAGTTTGTGTCGTGGGTGGTCCCTGCATGGTGTCATTGTAATATGCAACTGTATGTTGAATAAAATCTTAACTGTGTGTTGCCGGAATTATGCTCTCTTGTGACGTTCTTATCTATATATGATGATAATATTTTTTTTTATTATTCTTTTTTCAATATCGATATATGATTTGAGACCACAATTGATCAAACTATCGTGCATTTTCTTCATTGGAATTTTGGTATCTCACATCGCAATTATTGTTTCAGTTTCTCTCCTGTGGGCTGTGGCTAGTCATGGCGTGCTTTGTTTCTACTGATTTGACCACTTGCCTCCGTTTCTAGTAAATACCACTTGCTGCCATAGTTATAATAACCGGACCGGCTCAACTAAGAACCGGCCTTGACATTGGTCTGTTTCTATGAACAAGCCCCCAGCATGATGCCGTTTGAACCGGTTTAAAATCATAGCACCTCAATAGGCGCCGGTTTGGGAGAGTTGGTGGTTCACCAAAACCATGTGGTCGAAACGCAACATTCCACTGATGGAAACGAGTTTCACCTCACTAAATGTTTTAGGAGTCGGTTTGCTTGGGAGATGTTGGCGGTTTTGTAATAGAAAAAAGAAGTTGTAACAACTTACTTGGGAGTTTGATTGAATGAAGGACTAAGCTATTAAATAAGGGAGGAGAAGGGCTGCGATTGATCTGCACTAAAAAATGAGGAATGAAGAGAGTTTAAACATTTTTTTTTATCCTTTCGAGCTCTGTTCTGTCTATTGCGGGTGAAAGCCTATAATATACATAAGGGACTAGCAGCCTGACCCAATTTATACAAGTAATGTTGTCATTAGTAAAATATGGAAGTATATATTATGTTAGAAAAGCCATGGCTGGTTTTGTGAAGAAAGAGTAACGCACACATTGTTGGCGAATATATATCATGTATACTTGAACTTTTGAAAGAAAATAATAGTTGAGTTTAAAACGATTAGAGTTTAAAAGAAAAGTACGAATTTTCAGTAGTGCCCAAAAAGGGTTTAATGAGAAAAAATATTTTTAAAAGTTTACACTATATCTGAAAACTTAGTGTTTTCTAAAAAAAAGTAAGCGGATGCAAAATGTTCAAAAGCTTCGAGCTACTTAGGATCAATGCCATAGTAGCTGAAATATTCAGCAGACTGACCTACTTAAGGTTGACTCAACGATCAACGGGACTAGAATGACGCAAAACCTACTATGGAATACACTTCAAGAACCACCTAGAAAGGCAGATCCACTATTGGTGAACCAAAAGACATTTCAAAAAGAGGAAACTTCAAAACCTCAAAAGGAATATCAAGTACATCTACCTGATGACGTAGATTTTGATTATGAAAGTCTTTCTTCAGATCCTGATGGAACTAACATTGAGGATTTAAAATTCAAAGATAATAGTCAACCAAGACCTTTTGTGGTTAAAGAGGGAGATGTCAATCTAAGGCCCCAAATTGACCATAAAAAGGTTGACATAAACAAAAATACTAATTGACCTACTGCTTTACATTAATACATTTCTACTATGGAAGACTTAGTAACAAGAAGAGAGACATTAAGCCTGAAATGTTTATTGTTGAAGGTTCCAGACTATACTCACGAGTATGGTAACTAGAAGGAGCTGATCCAACCGTAATAAGGAAGTGGACAAATTTTGGGGCCATTGCCCTAATATTTACTGTAGCACCGAGTTTTACTTCAATACCTGGGATGCAAGAATGAATTACTAGGGCTTTGTATGATGCATGGTCCTATAATTCATACTTAAAAATAGGAGAAACTCTGGAGTTCCAATTCATCTCCATAGCCAGAGCGTGCAAGTGATTATGAGAAGCATGCTATTGTTCATTTTATTAAGTTACAATTGCCAAATAAAAGGAAGCTAAACCAGATCAAGACGCTTGAGGCAATTCCATTATACACCTCCATGACAGAGGATGAAATTGCGGTGAGAAGGCCATGTGTAGTATTGGTATGCCTTACTGAAATGGATAAAATAAAAATATTCATTCAAAATATTTGAAAATTCTCCAAATGGCTCATTTTGCCTTAATTCATTAACCGCAACTACTTCAAAGTTTGCTATTGACTTGTTCGAAAGTAAAATTAAATCTATGGGAGAACAAGTTAGCATCGGTAAAGAATGCTCGTTGTAAGACGTATAATATATGTTACATTGTTTTAAATGGAACGAGTATATCTATCAACATTGTCCTAGCTAGGAGAAACCAATGTTCAGAAACTGTTTCCGGTCAAAAGAGAACGCCCAGGCAAAAGGATAACCCAAGGAAGAAGAAGAGAATTTCAATATGAATTCCAAAAAAAAAAAAAAACGAAAGAAAAAAAGAAAGAAACTGGATGTCTACCATGATAGTGGTAGAGACAAGATAAAAAGAGAAATATTCTCTTTTGCGAAGAAACGAATGAAAATCCGAGTCACAAAGAAAGGCATCGGGAGATATCATGACCACACCATGTGAAGAAGTCACATCTAATAAAGAAGTTGCAGCACAATTCTAGGACCGGGCCCAAGAGCATGTGAATACAATTGTGCATCCACCTACTGCCGATGAAAGCAATAAAAGAGTGTCTCAACCCTCTATAAAAAGAGTCTTGGAGGAAGCAGAAGGCATCGTTCATACTCTTCAGCTTTCTCAATATAATAAAATTTTTGTAATAATTGTAATAGATGGAGTGTTGTGTTGTAATATCTTATATGTGTTTGTATCTACGCCCCTTATATGAGTAGATAAAATTAATTTTTCCTCTCTAAATGAGATTACTTATGTAATAAAATCTCTTTGAGTTCATAATAAAAAAAGGGCCTTTTTTGTTTCACAGCATGCTTTCAAAATAAAAATGTTAACAACTTTGAAAGCATGAAAATTTGTAATTAATTATATTTGAACGTGTTCATTTCATTATTTTCATAAAAAAAACAGAGAATTTTTTTTTAGCCATGTAGAAATGATAAACACAAATTTTAGCCATAGTTTGAAAAAAAACATCTTTTTTAGCCATTTTGGCACTTGAAAAGTCTTAAATACCCTTACTTTTTTTTTTTAAAAAAAAAAAGTTTATCTCTCTTCTCTCCATCATTACCTTCATCTCTCTTCTCTCTTAAAAAAAACAAATTAATTCTCTTAACAAAAAACAAAAAAAATTATTCTCTCTATATTCATTCCGGCAACATTCCGGTGATAACTGGGGAATACTAGTGTAAAGGTATTGTTAAAATTTTTTTATTTAATGAGCCACATATATATACTATTAAAATTAATAAATGAATATGGCAAAAAAAAATGTAGAATAGATTTCTTGGAACATTGAATGATTTCTGGATAGTCTCGTTTCTTTCCCAGAAATCGATTTCTGACCCAGAAATCACATTTTCGACCCAGAAATCGATTTCTGGATCGTCTCGTTTCTTGTCCCAGAAATCGATTTCTGGGACAAGTCGTTTCTAGTCCAGAAATTAATTTCTTGCCTAGAAATCACATTTCCGATCCAGAAATCAATTTCTGGGTAAAAAATTTAATTTTTGGGCCAGAAATGTGATTCCTGGGCCAGAAATGTGAACAAATCGATTTCTTGACAAGAAATTAATTTCTGGGCCTGAAATTACATTTCTGGCCCTGAAATGTGATTTCTGACCCATAAATCAATTTCTGGTCCAGAAATCGATTTCGTGACAAGAAATCAATTTCTGGCCCTGAAATCACATTTCTGTCCCAGAAATCACATATCTGACCCATAAATCGATTTCTGGGACGAAAATGTGAACAAATCGATTTCTTTTCACGAAATCGATTTCTGGCCCAGAAATCACATTTCTGACACAGAAATCAATTTCTGTGTCAGAAATGTGATTTCTGGGTCGGCAATGTGATTTCTGGTTCCCAGTAATCTTTTTTCTAGATTATCTCGTTTCTAGTCCCATAAATGTGATTTATGGACCGAAAATCGATTTCTGGGACAAGGAATCGATTTCTTGACAAGAAATCGATTTCTAGTCCAGAAATAGATTTCTGGGTTAGAAATGTGATTTCTAGCCAAGAAATCGATTTTTGGACCAGAAATCCAATTTATGGACCAGAAATCCAATTTCTTGCCCGAGAAATATGTTTTGAAATTGTTTGTCATTAAATTCTTGTCCCAGAAATCTGTGTGATTTCAAAAATCATTTTATAAACTATTTTATTTGATTTGTTATAAACATTGATTACTTAATTCTCAAATAATTATTTGAAATTGTTTGTCATTAAATACGTTTACATCTTTGGTTTACAGATGTGTGAAAAAGTTTGAATTGTGCATAGCGGATTTTTGGATGAGAATGTTTATAAAAATGGACAGGCAGAGATGAACTTTATGCGCTTGGGGAGTTTGTCGTATGAAGACTTTTCAAATAGAGTTAATGACATTGTTGGTGGAGACAAACACACATGTGAGTATCGATTTCACTTCTTGATGGCGAATGAAAATGGAGAGTTGGAAAAATGGAGAATTTCTTGTGAATCTGACTTGCACAATTTGGCCGAATTGTTCAAGGTCAGCCATTTTATCCATATGGTGTTACCGTTCCATCTGTTGCGAACTTACATTGGCAAAGCAACCCAAATGTTGGTTTTGGTAACAATATAGTGAAACATTCCGCTTCTCGAGCTGTTGAAAGTGATTTTTCAAACCATATTGATTGGGGTAAAGATAGTACATTTGATGGTGAGGATGATGGTCGATATTATGATAATTTGAATGAAGAAGCAAACGTCCACGAGACTGAAAGCGGAAATGAGGACGAGAATGAGCAAGTCGAGCATGATAATGAAATTGAGGACATCAATGATGGTCGGGATTATGATGATTTAAATGGAGAAGCGAACGT